TCCAGAGCTTGTGGGCTGCCTCATGTACCTGATGACTTGCACACGACCTGACCTCGCATACCCTCTCAGCCTTCTGGCTCGCTACGTGGCTCCCGGCAGGCACCGAAAGGTGCACTGGGATGCTGCGAAGAGGGTGTTGCGATACTTGTGCAGTACATCGGGCATGGGGCTCGTGCTTGGAGGACGGGCTCGAGTTGTCCTCACTGGTCACGCTGACGCCTCCTGGGTTGACGACTTGGCTACGCAGCGGTCGTCACAGGGTTACACCTTCAGCCTTGGCTCCGGTTCTGTCTCCTGGCGGTCTACCCGCTCTTCTTCTGTTCTCAGCTCCAGTTGCGAGGCTGAGATCTACGCTGGGGCCATGGCTGCACAGGAGCTTCGCTGGCTCACCTACCTGCTGACCGACTTGGGAGAGGCGCCTCGTTCTCCTCCAGTTCTGTACGTCGACAACAAGGCCATGCTGGCCTTGTGTCAGGAGCACAGACTGGAGCACAGAACGAAGCACATTGCTCTGCGTTACTTCCTTGCTCGAGAGTTGCAGCAGCGTGGCCAGCTTCGTCTTGCTTACGTGGCCTCTCAGGCCAACACTGCTGATGTTTTCACCAAGGCACTTCAGCCTTGTGATCATCAGCGTTTCTGTACTGTGTTAGGCCTTGTACCTACTGTGCCTCACTTGTTGACTTCTTGACCCTGCTTGTACTGTACTCTATATACTTATACCTGCATGCTTACACTTGCTAGGTTGTGTTCACTGTATTGTTTGCTTTCCTTTATATAACTCTGCATGTGAACTGGCCTTCTGGCCCTTTGCTTGTGCTCAGACTGTGTGGTGACTTTGTGATCCACCCTGAGTTTGCTTTGTCTTTCTTGACTGGTCTTGTGACCCCTTGTTCTCCCCCACTTTGCCTTTGGGGGTGTGTCAAACATATATTTACTATAGTCTGTCTAGGCTGTAGTGGGGTAGTCCTTAGAGGGTAAAACACTTATGTGGTTCCTACTTGTACCCTTCTCATTTCCTAATTCCATCATTCTTTCGTCTATTCCTTCACACTAACCACCGCTTGCTTGTGTGCAGATGTCGTGGTCGGCTGCCAAGCGAACGGGTGGATGGAGGCCACGGGCGTCATCCAGTGGCTCGATGAGGGCGTGGTGCCATTCCTGAAACCCAAATTCGGCGTGCAGAGTCGGAGTGCCATGCTATTACTCGACTCCTACCGTGGTCACCTTACCAAGGAAGTCAAGGCGAGATTCGCGGCGCTCAACATCGTGCCGGCGGTCATCCTGGCGGGATGCACGGCAGACGTGCAGCCGCTCGATGTGTCGGTGAACAAGAGCTTCAAAGCAAGTGTTCGCCAGCAGTACCAGTCCTAGTTTGAGGCAGACGGCATGAACATCCTAACACCTGCAGGTGAGCGAGGACATGTCCTCCCGTCTCCCCTTCGTGTGCTTGTCTGCCTGCTTGTGTTCTAATGTCCCCACTCCCTTTCATGTGGTGCAGGGAACATCAAGAAACCACCCCCAGAGGTGGTGCTCAAGTGGATTTCACGGGCGTGGAAGGCCGTGCCCGCCGACCTGATTAAGAAATCCTTCTTCACGTGCGGCATCAGCAATGCCCTTGACGGGAGCGAGGACCATATGGTGATGGCGCACCGGAGAAGCCAGCTGAGCCACGAGGTAGAGGTAGACGACGCCATCCAAGCATACGGGTTCTGGGGCAACAACTCCACGGAGCCTGAATCGGACGTGGAGGAAGTGGAGGCCTAAGGCTAAACTAGGCAAGATGGTGTTTAGGCTAGGACAATATTCACCCTATTGTATGTGAAACTTTTAGGTAGTGCAAAATTTCCTATTGAAGGCTAGCCTTGCTTTAGCTCTAACGATAATAACATGTTCAAAGTGTATTTTTTTTTACTACAAGAGTGCGCTTATAATAAGTAACGATTTTATAAGGGGTGCGCTTCTAATTGAGGATCGGCCATAAGCGCATTGCTCCAGATATAAGTGCATGCGCTTATAATAGGCCTGCGGTTATATCCGGGGCGATACGGTACCTAGTTATCGAAACTATTTTTAACGCGGATCAGCCCATTCTCCGCGTGGTGCCAAAATGTCCCACTCTCACACTGGCACCGTTGTCGCTAGTGACCAGGGCCTCAGATATCAGGAAAAAAACCCTGAAATTCCTGATTTTGGTAGTCCTTTTTTTACCTACACTGAAAAATCAGTGTTGAGATTTTTGTGGGACTGATCTTTCAGCCTTTTTTGTTAGGCCACACTGAAATTTCAGACCTTTTTTCCCAAGTACACTGATTCCACAACGTTGTAACGAAACTAACACTGAAACCAATTCTTACTTGTTCCGTGTGGATTTGCCCGCGATTACAGGGAATCTCAGATTCCTGCGGTGCCAGCACTCCATTGGGCAGTTTCGCTCCAGCATAAAGCGTTGGCTAATCGGAATGTGGCAACCATGTGGTGCTTGAGGGCTGCCAGGGTTCCTACACCGTTGGCTGTGCTGGCAAGCATTGATGCTCCCATTCCCTCCAATCCAATCTCTCGTGTTACTTTTCCTCCTGTTTCTCTCTCCCTCCCTCTCAGCCCGATTCCTCTCGTGCTTTCTCATCTGCACTAATACATGGCGCCATCAGCACCAGAAACGGCGGGCTGTTGGGAATCGAACCCATCGCGAGCGCCGCCAAACCTCTTCTTGTCTCGCCGAACACATTGCTCCCGTTCGACGCGATCCGCAGCGCATGCTGCGAGATGGTCGTCGGCCACGTGGCAATTCCCATCGGTGTCGTAGGCCCGCTACGACTCGACGACGCGTAGTTTTTCGTGCTAATGGCGACGACCAAAGGCTGCCTCGTCGCCAGCACAAACCGCGGTTGAAAGGCCATCTGCGCTGCGGGCGGTGCGCAGAGCGTCGTGCTGCGCGACGGCATGACCCGCGCATGACCCGCGCGCTCGCCATCCATTCCCCCGCTCCCTTTACCCTGCAATCCGTCCACTCCCTCTCTCCCCCGGTCGTCTCCCCCCCAACCGTGCTAGTCTTCCCTCCTTTCTCCCTCCTTTTCTCTCTTTCCCTGCCTCACCCTGCCTGTCAATCCGATTCCTCCCCCCAACCCTGCCCCTGCAGCTTCAACGTGTATGTGTTGCAAGCAGAAGTGAAGCCGGGGTGTGTGTGTCAAAAAGCACTATCACGTACTGGTGTCCCAAGCTGAGGAGGAGAGAGAAGAACCAAAGGCTAAGGGCAGTGATGATAGCACGGCTGGTGATAATTCATGAGGCATGTTAGCTTAGCAATGTTTCGGAAGGCTGCTACTTACTTAGTACATAAAATAGAGATTTCTAATTATAACAGCCTTTTATATTATTGAACACTGATGCATGAGCCTTTTTTCAAAGGCAACACTGATATTTCAGGCTTTTTTTTTTAGGAACACTGTCAATCAGGGTTTCTACACAAGGGTACCCTGATGGGTCGACGGCCCTAAAAGTGAATATGAGGCCCTGCTGGTGACCACAGGCGGGAAACCGTGAAATGTTGTCGGCGGCTCGCCATGTGGCCTTATTGGCTGTCTTACCCACAGGACTGCCAACGCACCCCTGCATCGAGCCAAACCACGCCACGCCCGGTACCAGGTGAGCAGAGTTGCGCGTCAAGGACAGCTTCTTGCTGTCCTACGTATGAACCAGGGCTGACTTTTCAAATTTAGGTACCCTGATTTCAACCTAAACATTTTTTTTTTACCCTGAAGGCACATTTTCCAGAAAACCAGCACCCTGATTGCTCAGGGTTGAGAAGTAGTGAACTCTGAATGTTCAGGGTCGAGAATTGAAAATCAGGGTCGTAGTAACGCGCTCTTTCTTTACCGAGGACAGAAGTCTCACTCAATCAGAAGTCTCATTCTTTACCCTAATCGCAACATGTGCTCGAAATCTGACAGTCTATTTCGACCAATAACAGCAACCTAAAATCTGACATTACAGATTCGCACGATCTAGATGGTGGGTGTATGGGAACGAAACTTCGAAGAAACTTCGTCTCGATAAAGCGAGGGGGGGGGGGGGGGGGGGGGGGAGGATTACGCACGTGGGGGGCACTGAAATCAATGCGAAGGGGTTATCAGGAGGAAATTTCCGAGAAACTTCGCCCCGATAACATCGCATTCAGGGTCCTACTCTGTATTGACAGGGTCCGTGAAAACCCTACACTGAGAGTGTACACAAAATTTCAGGGTCCGCTAAAGCAATACTCTGAATGGATCAGGGACCAAAATGTGAAAAACCTGATTTCTCAGGGTCCAGAAAGTGACAAGTCTGAAATCACCCTGAAATCAGGGTAATTACCCTGATAAAATCAGCCCTGGTATGAACTGAGTAGTTGTGATGTTTGTGCAACCTTATTAATACTGAAGAAATTACGTAACAAACAAAGTAGTATTGGAAACAGGCTATCTGTAGAAATACCCTGCTCAAATCAGGATACCATGCCTAAATCCTTGATTTACCCTGATCGAAACATGGTATGGAAAATTTTACACAACGGGTCAGGGTAAAGAGGAGCTGCAACCCTGATTTTTCAGGGTGGGCCTAAACCAATTTTGGGCCCTGGTGGATTCACATCACCCAAATAAGATACGAATTCAGTACCTATACAAATAAAGTTGCTGGTACCGTGTTACATGCAGCTGCATATAGTTCTGTAACTGTGATAAAAACAAAACACTCATTACCGTGTGAAACCACGAATTCAACCGCACTTGAACAATCAGCAGAGGAATCCACGCTATTATGGCCCAAACTTTAAACCAGCAACAGGGAGTGAAGTTACCACGCGGCACCAAGTCAGCTTTCCCGGCAGCGTCACGGCGCAGTCAGCACCGCCATTGCTTTTGCGTCACCACAGCGCCTCTCGCCCAGCATTTTCGCGAATTCCTTACTCGTTGTAAGAGTTGTATAAATACTGAAGTAAATCGAGGTTCCGCTACTGCGGTAGCATGGCGGTCGTTCCGCTGCTTTCTACGTGCGCTAATCTCGTCCCGTCATCCTCATTCCTAACGCCTGCCCTCTGCCTCTCAGCCGCTCCCAGCCACTCTCACAGTCACCGTCGTACCGTCAAACTCTGCCGCTCGCCCACTCCCTCCCTCTTCACCAGCAAGCGATTCTCGAATATTCTCTTGCAGGTAGGAGACCGAGGAAGACACCCTTCTCTGGTTCGCGCTAGGGCTCTTTCTCGGTCTATCTCATTTTCTCCTGCGCCAAAAGCGCTAGATTTAGTTCCCCGTCGCTCGCGATTGGTGGCTGTTCGATCCAGGGCGTTCGACGAGACGCGCGAGAGATCGGCAGGCAGATCGGGGGAGGAGAGGGGGGACGAGCGATGGGGGAAGGAGAGAGGGGAAGAGAGTTGGGGGGAGGATGGGGCGGATGATGGATGGGGGGAGGAGAGGGCGAAAGGGGGATGGCGGGAGCGGAAGGAGAGGGAAAGATCAGCGGAAAGCTGGGGGGAGCGATTGGCGGAGTGGGCTGGGGGGGAAGGCGAGGGCGGAGGGTCAGGGGAGAGATCGGCGGATAGATGGGGTGAGCGGAGAGCTGCGGGGAACGGGAGGGGCGCACGGGGAGGAAGAGGGGGGCGGACCGAGAGGGGTGGGCGCGGGGGCAGGGGACAGGGTTCAGGGTTTAACCGTTACGGGGCGGATCGGTTTGATGAGGGGCGCGGAGGGTTTGGGGGGAGACGGCGGGGGGAGGGGGATGGGGAAAGGGCGGAGTGGCAAGGGGAAGGAAGGGGGATCGGCGGAAGAGGGGAGAGCGGATGGGGGGAGGGCGGAGAGGGTTCTGGGTTTGGATCAAGGTTTGGTGGTAGGCGAGAGAAGGTTAACAGGCGAAAGCACACGGAGCTGGCGATAGACCCCGTGCTGGTTACCAACATTGGCGAAGAGGCGGACGGGGGGGAGGAGGGGGAAACAGGTGGGCCAAGCGAGGGGGTGAAGGGGGGATTTGGGGAAGCGCGAGAAGGGGGAGAGGGAATGGGGCAGGGGGGAAGCGGAAGTGACTATAGAGGGCGTGATGGTAGGGATATCGGGGGAAGGGGGAGAGGGGGAAGCGGAAGGGCTCTGGCGGGTGGGAGAGGGGGAAGGGACACGCGGCAAGGGGGATGGGGGGGTGATGCGGATGAGTGGGCGGAGGACGGGGGGGATTGGCGGGTGGCGGAGCGGGAGGATGACGACTGGGGGGACGACAGGGGCGCGCGGGGGGACGGGGGGAGGGCAAGGGGGGGCGGGGGAAGCTCGAGGGGGGGCAGGAGTGGCGGATGGGGAAGAGGAGGGCGCAATGGCGGAGAACGGATGGGGGTTTATGAGCAGTGGAGCATGGGGATGAGCAAGCGCAGGGCGAAGGTTGTGTGGGGGCGGGGGGAGGGAGAGGGGGGTATGGGGGAAGATGCAGAGGAGGGGAAGTCGGGGAGAGAGGGGAAGGAAGGAAAGGAGGGTAGGGAAGGGAACGAGGGGAGGGAGGGTATGGGGGAAGGAGAAGAGAATCCAGACGAGGAAGGGAGACGAAGGTGGTGGCAGCGGGGGGATAAGTATGTGCGGGGGGAGAGGAATTTGAGGGAGGAGGGGGGTGTGGTGGGGGAGAGGACTTTGAGGGGGGAGAGGGACGTGCGTGGGGAGAGGGGTGAGGGTAGGGGGAGGGAGGGGAAGAGAAATTTGCAAGGGGAGGGGGATGTGCAGGGTAAGCGGGCAGAAGGTAGGGGGATCAATGAGGAGGAGAGGATGTATAAGGGGAGGGATTATACGGAAGGGGATTCTGGGAGGAGAGATTATAAGGGGGAGGGTTATGGGAGGAGAGATTTCAGTGAGAGAGTGCAACAGGAGAGGGGTTATGATAGGAGGAGCGGGTTCAGCGGCAGAGGAAGGTATGACGGGGAGGGGCGCATGGAAAGAGACAGAGGCGTGGGTAACAGGGAAGGGGTGGGTGGTAACAGAGGGGGAATGGGTAGCAGCCGAGTAGACAGGGAAGGGGGCTATAATGAGAGGAACGGGTACAGCGGCAGAGGGAGGTATGAGGGGGAGAGGCGCGTGGATAGGAACAGAGGCATGGGCGGTAGCAGAGGAGGCGTGGAGGGGGGTTATGATGAGAGGAGCGGATACAGCAGCAGAGGAGGGTTTGAAGGGGAGGGGCGCATGGAAAGAGACAGAGGCATGGGCGGCCAGGAGGGCATGAGCGGGGGAAGGGGGGACATGGACGGGGGAAGAGGAGATGGGGAGGAGAGGGGCGGTTATGACGGTAGGAGCGTTTACACGAGGGGAGGAGGTGAGCCAAGGCGCATGGACGCTGGAAGCAGGGGGGGTATGAGCGGGGGAAGAGGAATGAAGGGAGGCAGATTGGGCAGGGAAAGAGGAGCAGAGGGAGAGGGAGGGGCAAGATGGGAGAAGGAAGGAGGCACGAGTGGTAGAGGCACTCGGCGAGAATATGCTGAATGGGAGGAGCAGGAAGGAGAGGAAGGAGATGAGGAGGGGAGGCGAGGAGGCGGAGGGAGAGGCAGCAGTGGTGGGAGAGGCACGTTGCGGCAGTCGTCAACATCAGAATCAGAATCAGCGGTATCAATTTTACCTGCTGCGGTTCTTGAAGAGCCTACTTTGAACTGCGAGCATTTCACCAAGTAAGGAGCGTCATTGTGAAATTCGCCACCCACCCCCCATACCTGCATATGCTGAAATTTATTGCGAGAATTTTTTAGTCGACTCAAAAATCGACTCAAGAGTCGACTCAAAATTTTCACTGAGTAAGGAGCTTCAATAAATACAACATATTTCATGCTCCTTCTCCACCTCCCATAACAACATACGTTTCTGCACCATAAATACATTGCTTCCCTCCCATCCGCCTGCTCTATCTCCCACCAACCCCACGCCCTGCCTCCCCCTCTCCTTCCCCCCTTTTGAGTCGACTCAAAAGTCACCAACCCCACGCTCTGTCTCCCTCTCCTACCCCTCTTCTCCTCTGTGAAGGAATAGAAGGCATAGCTGTATCGTGTTACAAGGATTCGGGGGAAGGAGAAGGGGGAAGAGTAAAAGGGGGTTCTCATAGTTGTGGGAATTGAAAGGGGTTCAATTGGGATTCTGTCCAACATTGGCCGAATTTTGAGTCGACTCAAGAATAGAAGGGGGTTCTCATAGTTGTGGGAGTTGAAAGGGGTTCTATTGGGATTCTGTCCATCATTGGTGGTCTGCTTGTATCACTTTTGAGCATTCTGGTAAATTGATATGATACCAATAGACTGAGCTGGCAAACCCTTTTGAGGGTCATATAACGATCTTTTTCCACTTCCTCGCCCACTTCCCCTCGCCCCTCTCCAACCAAGCAGCTTCTCCAGCTGCACTCTCAATGCTGCCCTTAACCGCCCTCCCATCATAAAAAAAGCAGAGACCCATAACACTGCGCGTCACCTGCCTTTCTTCTGCCCCTTCCCCACTCCTTCCCCCTCATGCAGCTGCTCCGGCTGCTCCCTGAATGCTTCTCTGGACCGCCCTCCCATCATCAAGGAAGCAGAGGGCTGTAAGCCGCTCATCATCTCTCATCTTTGTTCCCTACTCTCTCATCCCACCACCCCCCCGAAGCAGCTGCTCCGGCTGCTCCCTGAATGCTGCTCTGGACCGCCCTCCCATTATCGCAGAGGCAGAGGCGTTCTTTGAGGCCCGCGGGGTGGCGGGCTTTAAGCTGCACACCGCTGATGTGGTGAGCGGAGGGAGAGAGAGGGGATGGGTGTGTGCATTGTATGCATGCATGCTCTCAATGCTTCTCTGGACCGCCCTCCCATCACCAAGGAAGCAGAGGCGTTCTTTGAAGCCCGCGGGGTGACAGGCTTTAAGCTGCACACCGCTGATGTGGTGAGTGAGCGGAGGGAGAGAGAGAGGGGTTGGGGCTGTGTACTGTGTATGGATGCATGCATGCTCTCAATGCTGCGTTGGATCGTCCTCCCATCATCAAGGAAGCAGAGGCGTTCTTCGAAGCGCGCGGGGTGGTGGGCTTTAAGCTGCACAACGCTGACGTGGCGAGCCATGGGAGAGAGTAGGGGGGTGGGGGAGGGGGGATGGGACTGTGCATGTGTGCATGCTCTGAACGCTGCCCTTGACCGCCCTCCCATCATGGCAGAGGCAGAGGCGGAGGGAGGGAGGAAGGCGGAGAGGCTATGCATGTATGCATGCATGATCAGTCGAACCTACCCGTCGCAAGATCTCTCGCCTTATCTCTCTCTCACTTCCAGGTGGAGTGGCGGTGCCGAGCCAAGCTAGCAGTGAGGGGCACAGCAGAGGAGCCGCTGGTGGGGCTGTATGCAGCACGGTCGCACGATGTGGTGGATATTCCCATGTGCAGAGGTGCGGTGCGGTGGAGTGAGGTACTATTTGGTCTTGTCATTGTTATGTGGTATAATGTGTATTGCGGGGAAGGAGGCTGCTGTTGGGGTTGTATGCAGCACGGTCACACAATGTGGTGGATATTCCCATGTACAGAGGTGTGGTGACGTCAGTGCGATTTTGTGTGGTATTATGTGGTACCATGTGGTAGTTGTGTGTGTTGTTATGTGGACGGCAAGCAGGGATGGGGCTGTATGCAGCGCGGTCGCACGGCGTGGTTGTAAGCATTTCCATGTACAGAGGTGTGTTGGGGGAGGTACGTGGTATGACGTGGTGTTACGTGTGAGGAGATTACTCTAGCAACGGGAGCTGGTCTACGGGCTAGGCACGGGGTAGGAGTAATCTCTGCGTTCGTTCCTTAGTCGTTTCCTTGTGTGCGCACTACTTGCTAGTTCACGGGGAGAATTGGCAAGAGTTTCACAAGGAAAAAATGACAACAATTGGTTCAGAGTGATAGCAACAAAGTTGGCAAGACTGACTAAATCAGAGCTAGCATGCAAGCAGGACGACTGCCAGCGCAGCACGGTCGACCGCGTTCCAGCACGACTTGGTCGACCGCCCTCCAGCAGTACAAAGTTGCGGCCCGCCAACACTGCAAGTCGACGGCGTGCCAACTCTGCAGCACGTCGGCTGCACAACGTTGCACCCGCAGGACAGCAGCGCACCCGTTTCGCAGGTGCTCGCACACGATTGGCGGGCTGTGTCTTGTCACCTGCACAGCGCATACACCAGATCGTCCTCATGGTGACGACTGCTCCTGATCAGCCATGTCGACCTCGGGATACCACACCGAGGTCTGCCTCGCCAGAACCACCTGGGCGACTGTCGCGCTCCTCCGCAGAACCCCGTCGCCTGGGTAACCTGGTCGACCTGGCAACCACCACGTCGACCAGCTCCTTCTTGTGCCCGTCGACCACCCAGGTCGACGACCACCACTGGTCGACCACACCAAGTCGACCGCGCACCCGGTTGACCTGCTCCAGGTCGACCAGCCCAGCTGTCAGCCGACCACCCAAGTCGGCTTCCCCAAGTCGGCGTCACCAGGTCGACCTCCCGAAGTCGACCTCCAGAAGTCGACCTCCCCTCGTCTACCACCGGGTCGAAGTCGGCCGCCAGCGTCCCAAACTCGGCGGCGTCGCAGTGGCCCCGCGCAGGTCGACCAACTCCGTCGACCAGCCCGCCAAGTTGGCGTCGCCCACTGCTGCAGGTCGGCTGCACCTCCCGTACACCCGATCACGAAGTCGGCTCCGCCCAAGCGAGGACGAGGCCAAACACAACTCCCGTCGACAATGTGGTAGTATGCGGTACAATACAATGTGGTAGTATGCGGTACAATACAATGTGGTAGTATGCGGTACAATACAATGTGAATTGCAGGGAGAGAGGCTGCTGGTGAGGCTATATGCAGCACGATGTGGTGGATATTTCCATGTGCAGACGTGGGTTCGAGCGATGTGCATCGTGCACCCACGTGCTTCATGCATTCATGTATATGTTTCCCCCTCTTCCCTCCTTTCCCACTTATCCTCCTCCCCCCCCTTCCCACTCCTCCCCCCCCCCCTTACGTACAGCTCACCATCCGCGCCTCAATGCTGCTGCAGCGCTTGTGCGATCAGGTGAGCTGAGGGTTGCTTTTGGGTGACTTTTGAGTGGCAGCCTCAATGCTGCTGCAGCACTATTCTTTGAGGTGACTGCATCTGTGTTGCTGTGTTTGCATTTACTCCACATCCCTAACCCCGCCAGCGATCTAGCACTTGAGCAGAGAACCCTATAACGAGGAAACTTGCTGGCTTGTTGAATGGCTGTTATAACTTATTTATGTTGTTTCTATGGTCTGTTCCCCTTTCTTCACTCCACCCACACCAGTGATCAAGGACCTGGGTGTAGAGCCCTATGACGAGGAAACAGGCCAGGGGATGCTCAGATACATCCAGGTGAGACCTGGATCAGGTGGGTTCTTCCAGGTGGTTCTTCAGGTGCCCATCAGGTGGTCTCCAGGTTTTTATTAGGTGGCTTTCAGGTTCCAATGAGGTGGTTTTCTGGTGCCCATCATCAGGTGGTCTCCAGTTGTTTATTAGGTGGCCTTCAGCACGTCGATTCTACCTGCTGCCTTTGCGACATCCTTTTGAGGCGCCTCAAAAGTGCCCATCAGGTGGTCTCCAGTTGCTTATTACGTGGCTTTCAGCACATGGATTCTACCTGCTGCCGTTGCAACATCCTCTTGCTCACTGCAGCTTGCTCCACCATACCCCCTGCTTCATGGCCATGCCTCAACACCTACCAACCGCACTCCACTCCCCTGCACCCATTCACACCATGCAGCTTGCTCTCACCACCAACGACACCTCCATCCCATCTTCTGAGCGATACCTGAAAGGTACGCACGCACGATCACTTTTGAGATTTCTTAGTGCTGAAACAAGCATGGTGCATACCTGCCCATGCCTCCATTGCCCATGCCTCCATTGCCCATGCCTCCATTGCCCATGCCTCCATTGCCCATGCCTCCATTGCCCATGCCTCCATTTCCCATGCCTCCATTTCCCATGCCTCCATTTTCCATGCCTCCATTTCCCATGCCTCCATCCATAGCCCATGCCTCCAAAACCCATGCATCCATTGCTCAATTTCACCATTTCACCACCCGCCGTCCCATCACATTCCAGGCAAGGTGCAGGTGGCATGGCACTGGTGTGGAACGCGAGCAATGAAATAAGTTTTTGAGCCGACCCGAAACTCACCATCTCACCATTGCATTCCATCATCCCACGGTCGGATTCCCACCGACCCACCCATCATCCCATCGTCCCATCCCAGCCAGGCAAAGTGCAGGTGGCACTGGTGTGGAACGTGAGCAAGGGGAAGTCTTTTGAGTCGACTCAAAGCTCATCTTCATACCGTTGAGCTTTGAGCTTTGAGTTGCAACCCATACTCCCATCAACCCATCCCAGGCAAGGTGCAGATGACGCTGGTGTGGAATGCAGGTCACGTATCGCCTCAAGTATACCACCACCACCGTCCTAATTCCTCTCATCAACCCATCCGCCCATTTTCCCATGCCCATCAACCCATCCCAGGCAAGGTGCAGGTGACGCTGGTGTGGAATGCGAGCAACGAAAAGTCACCCGCCGCTGAGAAGATCCCAGCCCTGTGCAAGGTGGGAGAGAAGTGTGAGCTGAGAGGCGAGAGATGAGAGGTGGAGAGACGGAGAGACGGAGAGGCGAAGAGACGGAGGGGGTGAGACGGTGAGATGAGAAGATTACAGCCCCGTGAGAGGGAGACGAGAGGCGAGGGTGGTGAGGTGCAAAGGTGCTGAGAATTGAAGGGCCGAAAGTGGCGCAAGCTTGGTGCTGGGTTTTCCGGTGAAGGGAGACATTGATCAAGCACCGAAATGCCCTGCAAGTGGAGAGGCTGAGAACAAGAGAGGTTGAGAACAAGAGAGGTTGAGAACAAGAGAGGTTGAGAACAAGAGAGGTTGAGAACAAGAGAGGTTGAGAACAAGAGAGGTTGAGAACAAGAGAGGCTGAGAACAAGAGAGGCTGAGAACAAGAGAGGCTGAGAACAAGAGAGGCTGAGAACAAGAGAGGCTGAGAACAAGAGAGGCTGAGAACAAGAGAGGTTGAGAACAAGAGAGGTTGAGAACAAGAGAGGTTGAGAACAAGAGAGGTTGAGAACAAGAGAGGTTGAGAACAAGAGAGGTTGAGAACAAGAGAGGTTGAGAAGCTCGGAGGGTAGGCGGAGTTCATAGTTTTGCAGTGCAGTCTGAGTGGGCTGTACAGAGAGCAGAACTGGCGTGTACCCCTTCCAACCGTACTCAACCATCTTCCATCTCTTTTTTTTCTCTTTCCCTTCCTCTTTGTTGTCCCCTGTGTCAGAAATGGAGCTTGAACTGATTGATTAAGAAAGAAGGCGCTAGGTCTTAAGTATAAACAAGGTTGGGTTGAGCAAAGCTAGGGAAAGGATGGGATGTGAATCCAAGCAAATCTTCAATTATGAGTTGGCAGATTTGTTGGATTACGGGGGAATCCCAACCATATAAGGTTGAGATTACAAATCTACACCCAACCTACAAATAACCTACAGCATTTAAAACAAAGTACACAAAGTGTTGACAGCCTATTTCTAACACACAGGAGCTCTGGTGGTGAGGAGGTGCAAAATTGGCTGAAGTCCCTTCCAAATGTTTTGAATCCCTCTGTCCACCCGCCCGCCTCCTTTTCATCTCCCCCACGCAAAACCTCCCCTGAAGCTGTGGCCAGGGGGATGCAGAATTCATTTGAGCTCCTTTCTACCATTCTGAATTCCTTATTCGTCCCGTTCCCTCTCCTTGCACTGCCCACCATTCCCAGGGGCTGTGGCGGCAGGGAGGCAAAGAGGCCTAATTGCTGCACTACGTGTGGGTCAACTTCTCAAACCTCCTTCCTTTCAACCGTTCTAACCCCTTTGACCTTTTTGTCCTCTCTCCTTTCCCCCCCACACCATTCCCAGGAGCTGTGGCGGCAGGGAGGCAAAGAGGCGAATTTGCTGCACTCCGTGTGGATGAACTTCCAAACATCGTCCAGCAATGTGAGCATGGCGTGGCGTGGGGGGCAGGGATGTTGGGTGTTGAGGTTAGGTAACAGTGGTTTTCGAGAACGTGTGGGTGAACCTTCAGATGAGTAATGTAATGTCATCTACAATGTGTCACGAATGAGTACTGCTGGAATTATGCTCCAAATGAAATAGTAGAAGGCAGAAAAAGGGGCGGAAGAAACTTACGCATCAAGGATCAGAGAAAGGTGTTACTTCTTTGACATATTCTCCAACACGCCTCTCATCTCAGACTCGTTCAAGTCATCACCTGTCGACTCCTCATCTTCCTGAGCTTTGTGTGGGTGAAATTGCTTACAGACGTCTTCCTGGAATTTGAGCGTGGCATGCTTTCAGCGTATGCTGTCATTCAGTGCCTTGTGCCATGTATTCTCTTGTATGCTACGCATACATACATCCAATGCGGCCCTCCTTGTTACACAGTGTGCACTGTACCGATTCTGATTCTCACCTGTCTGTATGTCCCACTTGTTACACAGCTGCCTACTACTTGCGGCATGCACTACAGTCGTTCTTGGATGATTGACTTTATTAATTTCCTCCCACCCCCCCCAGGTGATATTTGGCGGCAGGTGGCGACACATGATTGGTCCAACGGACATGTGGGAGCGGCTGGGGGGTGTAGATGTGTGTTTCACTCCTGGCAGCTTTGGGCAGGCCAATTACAAGGTGAGGGTGAGGAGGGGTGGAGAGCGGTGCGACTGGGTAACGCAAACTGGGTTGGGACTGGTTACAAGAAGGTGAGACTTGGCCCGGCGGACCTGTGGGAGCGGAGCATCTGGGGGGGCGTGGATGTGTGTGCTTCACTCCTGGGAGCTTTGGGCAGGCCAATTACAAGGTGAGGTGAGGGGTGGAGAGCAGTGCGACTGGGTAACACAAAGTGGGCTGCGACAGGGTACTTGAAGGTGAGGTGAGACTCGGCCCAACAGACATGTGTGAGTGGCTGGGGGGCGTGGATGTGTGTGTTTCACTCCTGGCAGCTTTGGGCAGCCCAATTACAAGGTGAGGTGAGGGGTGGAGAGCGGTGGGATGGGTACCACAAGGTCAGTCAGACCGGCTGGGGGACATGAATGTGTGTGTGATTTACTCCTTCCTAGGAGCTTCGGGCGGATGGATGGTGGAGGCTCACTAGCGATACTGGGATGGGTGCAAGCTTCAAAGCAAGACCAGGAGGAGTGCCTCTCTATATAGCTCTTCTTTGAATCTTCATCCTGTATAGCTCTTCTTTGAATCTTCATCCTGTATAGCTCTTGGATGGGCATGAGGAAGAGTATGATGAAGACAGCATGATGCCGGTTTAGGGGCCATGGAAGTCTCGTTATGTGGCGCCCCAGAAATGAATATGTGAAGTGAAGTCGCATTAGGGCCTATAGGGATGCCACGCTGTGCTCTGCTGCTACATTCTCTGGTTGAGATAAGCGCGGTTGTGAGACGTCTCAAACCAACCTTATATCACGCGGCTATGTTTCGAGGCGCCCCGAACATGCATGTGTGTGAAGTCACGCTAGGGGCCATAGGGATGCCTCCTTGTGCTGCTACGCTCTCTCTTTCTAACCCCTCCCCCTCTATCCTGTTCCTTCCCCGCCCCCTCTTCCCCTTAACAGGCGTTTGATCTTGATGCTGAAGCATCTGGACTCGCTCTTTCCTCGCCGATCCTCTGTAGTGGAGCTATACGCTGGGGCAGGCGCCATAGGGCTCTCTCTTGCTGCTACCACACCCGCTCCTTCCCACCCCTCTACCCCTGTCGGTCTCCCTGTTTCCCCCCTCCCTCCCCCCCCCCAACAGGCGTTTGACTTGATGCTGAAGCATCTACACTCGCTCTTTCCTCGCCGATCCTCTGTAGTGGAGCTGTACGCTGGGGCAGGGGCAATAGGGCTCTCTCTTGCTGCTACCACACAGTGCAGGTATGCGAGGCTGCATAAAAAGCATTGGAGAAGTGTTTCGGGTGTTTGTGGAATGATAGTTGTTTTTGTGTCGACTCAAAAATCGTGGAATGCGAGATCCAGACATAGCTCAGTGAGCTGCGTGCGTGCAGGAGGCTTAAAGAAAAGGAAAAACAGCGGTAGATTTCCGCTCTGTGTACCACTAAGTCGTTTTTGAGTCGACTCAAAAATCGTGGAATGAATGATGGTTGTTTTTGTTCATCCACGCACCCCCACCCTCCCCTCTCTTTGCTCAGTGTCGTTGGTTCAATATAAGTTAAGCCGCTTGGACTGGCGCCCATTCACTTGTTCACTGGAGCGCCAGCAGCCCACCCCCTCTGGCTCTTTCCACCCTTCGCCACACTCCTCTACTTGTACAGCCCACCCCACCTCCCCTCCCTTCCCTCTAGTGTGCGATGCTATGAGATAAAGGAGGCCACCCGGGCGCCCTTCACTCGCTCACTGGAGCGTCTGCACTGCAACCAACCCCTCTTATCCACCCCTCATTCTTCCCCATCCCCCTCGTCAACCCCCCCCTTCTCCCCTGTTGCTCAGTGTGCGTTGCTACGAGATAAACGAGGCCGCCCGGGCGCCCTTCACGCGTTCTCTGGAGCGACTGCAGCCGCTGCTGCGCCACCCGGCTGCTGTGTCATGGCACCAGGCAGACGCAGAGGCACCCGTTGAGGTGAGTGCTGGCACTAAACACTGAGTGCTGCATTCTCGCCTGCACCTGCTGCTGCGCCACCCTGCTGCCGTTTCATGGGACCAGGCAGATGCAGAGGCATCTGTTGAGGTGAGACCTGTGAACTACTACATTGTCCGCCTCTCCCAGAGCCTCTCGCCTGCACCCGCTGCTGCGCCACCCTGCTGCCGTTTCATGGGACCAGGCAGACGCAGAGGCACCTGTTGAGGTGAGACCAGAGGCACCTGTTGAAGTGAAACCTGAGCACTGAATACTCAGTGCTGCTGCAGTTTCTGCTGCAACCTCGTGACATTCCCCTGGATGCGTGTATGGTGCTGGTTGGTGCTTGGTGGTGCTGGTTGGTGCTTGGTGGTGCTGATTGGTGCTTGGTGGTGCTTGGTGGTGCTGGTGGTGCTTGGTGGTGCTGGTTGGTGCTGGTTGGTGCTTGGTGGTGCTGGTGGTACTTGGTGGTGCTGGTTGGTGCTGGGTGGTGCTGGTTGGTGCTTGGTGGTGCTGGGTGGTGCTTGGTGGTGCTGGGTGGTGCTGGGTGGTGCTGGGTGGTGCTGGGTGGTGCTTGGTGGTGCTGGTGGTGCTTGGTGGTGCTTGGTGGTGCTGGGTGGTGCTGGGTGGTGCTTGGTGGTGCTGGTGGTGCTGGGTGGTGCTTGGTGGTGCTGGGTGGTGCTGGTGGGCCTTCCCCGCAGTGGAGGGGTCTGCACGAGCCAGGCTTTTGTTGCCCTCTGGTAACGCTCGCATCATGTGTCGTCTCTTTTCTCGCTTCCTACCCCTTTCCTTCGTCCCTTTCCCCGCAGTCCCATCTGGACGTTCTACTGGATGCAGACGTGATGCTGGTGGACCCCCCTCGCAGGGTGGGCTGGATGTGTGTCTTTGAATTTTGCACCCTCCCCTCCTACCCTTCCTTTCCCACGCAGTCCCATCTGGACATTCTACTGGATGCAGACGTGGTGCTGGTGGACCCCCCTCGCAGGGTGGGCTGGATGTGTGTCTTTGAATTTTGCACCCTCCCCTCCTACCCTTCCTTTCCCACGCAGTCCCATCTGGACATTCTACTGGATGCAGACGTGGTGCTGGTGGACCCCCCTCGCAGGGTGGGCTGGATGTGTGTCTTTGAATTTTGCACCCTCCCCTCCTACCCTTCCTTTCCCACTCAGTCCCATCTGGACATTCTACTGGATGCAGACGTGGTGCTGGTGGACCCTCCTCGTAGGGGCCTGTACGGGTCAGGGCCTTGGTTGCCCCCTGGTTCGGCTCGCATCATGCATCATCTCTTCCCTCGCTTCCTACCCCTTTCCCTCTTTTCCCCCACTCAGTCCCATCTGGACATTCTACTGGATGCAGACGTGGTGCTCGTGGACCCCCCTCGCAGGGGCCTACATGAGCCAGTCTTGGCTGCGCTGCTGCATGCTGCCAGGCATGCCGGCAGGTAGGACAACTCTTCCTTGTCTGAGTGAATTTGTGTGTGTGCGACAGACTTGCAGTGAGTGTGTGTGAGAGAGACTCGCAGTGAGTGTGTGTGAGAGAGACTTGCAGTGAGTGTGTGTGAGAGAGACTCGCAGTGAGTGTGTGTGAAAGAGACTCGCAGTGAGTGTGTGTGAGAGAGACTCGCAGTGAGTGTGTGAGAGAGAGACTTGCAGTGAGTGTGTGTGAGAGAGACTCGCAGTGAGTGTGTGTGAGAGAGACTCGCAGTGAGTGTGTGTGAGAGAGACTCGCAGTGAGTGTGTGAGAGAGAGACTTGCAGTGAGTGTGTGTGAGAGAGACTCGCAGTGAGTGTGTGTGAGAGAGACTCGCAGTGAGTGTGTGTGAGAGAGACTCGCAGTGAGTGTGTGTGCGACAGACTCGCAGTGAGTGTGTGTGCGACAGACTCGCAGTGAGTGTGTGTGCGACAGACTCGCAGTGAGTGTGTGTGAGAGAGACTCGCAGGGGGGCTGCACGAGCCAGTCCTGGCTGCGCTGGTGCACGCTGCCAGGCATGCCGGCAGGTAAGGTGTCTCGTTTTATGAGGTTGAAGTTTGTATCTTGGTTGGTGTATGCGTACGTGAGTGTGTGAGAGAGAGACTCGTGATTGAAGAAGTGTTTTGAGACGTCTCAAAGTACGTGAGTGTGTGAGAGAGAGACTCGTGAATTCGTGTGTGTGCGTATGTGAGTGTGTCTCTGAGAGTGCATGTGTGAGACACTCACAGGGGCCTGCACGAGCCGGTCTTGGCTGCGCTGCTTCCCGCTGCTAGGCATGCCAACAGGTGGGGTGAATTTTGTAGTTTGTGGGTGTGAGTGAGTGAGTGGTTGAGTGTGAATCTGTGTGCGTAAGTGTGTGTGCGCATGCTGCATGCTGTGTCGGCATGTGTTAGTGTGGTGGGTGCATTGGTAAAGGTGGCTGGAGGTAGGCGCATTCGGCTTGGTATTGCCAAGGGATGAAGTCTGATTCGAATCCTCTGACATAATTCCAGTGAGCAGCAGTGCCGAGGTTTAGGCTTAAGCAAGTAGGAAAAAACAGTGAAACAGTGACCAGGCCTTCATCAGAAGATGCCTCTTGCATGTGAAGTATGATTCGAACTGCAGTAAGCGACCAGTGTATTAGCTAAGTACGAGCGTGGGTTACTTGTAGAGTGGGAACAAATTAAAGCCAGGGTCTCATGTACAGGTTGGCCGTGCAACTGCAAAGCACTTGGGAGAAAAGTGGTTTGTTTGGCTAGTCTCGATTGGACAAAACTTTGGCCCCAAAATTGTAAACCAATCAGACAGGCCCTTTCTTCATCGATTGCAAAACACTTGGTCTACTTGAGACCCTGGCTTTAAAGATCGGACTTGATAAGTCTCATTTAAACATATACGTGCACGTTTCGGCCGTGAGACCTTCATCTTGGTATTGCCAAGGGATGCAGTAAGAAGATGCCTTTGCATGCCCCTCCGACTAGTTTGTGTTTCGTTTTCCCATCGCTCGCCTTCTCGCTTGTTTTCTCTAGTTGCTCACTCTCTTTCGTGCTCTTATCCTCCTCTCCTGCTCTGCCTGTTTTCCTCCCCTCAGGTTGTCACAGCAGCAGGCAGACAGTCAGTCCAGCAGCACCGCCTGGAGTGGGAAGACAAAGGCGAGCAGCGGCAGCAGCAGTGGTGGCAGATGCATGGGCATGAAAGCAGGCGAGCTCAAGGCATGAATCTCTCCTCGCCATGCCCCTCCGTCCTTCTCTCCCCCCAGGCTGTCCCAGCAGCAGGCAGATAATCAGTTCAGCAGCACCGCCCAGAATTCAAAGGCTGGGAGTAGCGGCGGCAGCAGCGGTGGAGCGAGACGGGGTGACGGCTTGACTCTGGTTTACATCAGCTGTGGATGGGACGCGTTTCAGAGGGTGAGAGGACAGGGAGGGAGGGATGAGGAAGTAGGGGCAGGGGAGCAGGCTTTAGGGGTGGGTTACACACATTAGATGGCTTGAATCTGGTGTGCAGCAGGTGCAGATGGGATGCTTTTCAGAGGGTGAGAGGACAGGGAGGGAGGGATGAGGAAGTAGGGGCAGGGGAGCAAGCTTTAGGGGTGGGTTACACACATTAGATGGCTTGAATCTGGTGTGCAGCAGGTGCAGATGGGATGCTTTTCAGAGGGTGAGAGGACAGGGAGGGAGGGATGAGGAAGTAGGGGCAGGGGAGCAAGCTTTAGGGGTGGGTTATACACATTAGATGGCTTGAATCTGGTGTGCAGCAGGTGCAGATGGGATGCTTTTCAGAGGGTGAGAGGACAGGGAGGGAGGGATGAGGAAGTAGGGGCAGGGGAGCAAGCATTAGGGGTGGGTTATTCACATTAGATGGCTTGAATCTGGTGTGCAGCAGGTGCAGATGGGATGCTTTTCAGAGGGTGAGAGGGCATGTGGGCAGGAAGGACGGGCAGGGGTGGGGGACTAGAGACAGGTTGGCTGGTGTAGGGGTGTGTTACAAGCATCAGACAGTATGAATATGATATACATCAGCTGCGGATGGGACTGTGACAGTCTGACTCAGGACGGCCTCTTCCATCTCTCCCACGCCTCTGCATTCAATCCACAGCCTTCCCCTCAACCCCCGCTCATCTGTCTCTCTCGCAACCCCTGCTCTTATCTCACACCCGCCCAACCCCTCCCTATCAGGATTGTGACAAGCTGATCCAGGACGGCCTCTTCCATCTCTCCCACGCCTCTGCATTCAATCCACAGCCTTCCCCTCAACCCCCGCTCACCTGTCTCCCTCGCAACCCCTGCTCTTATCTCACACCCACCCAACCCCTCCCTATCAGGATTGTGACAAGCTGACCCAGGACGGCCTCTTCCATCTCTCCCACGCCTCTGCATTCAATCCACAGCCTTCCCCTCAACCCCCGCTCACCTGTCTCCCTCGCAACCCCTGCTCTTATCTCACACCCGCCCAACCCCTCCCTATCAGGATTGTGACAAGCTGACCCAGGACGGCCTCTTCCATCTCTCCCACGCCTCTGCATTCAATCCACAGCCTTCCCCTCAACCCCCGCTCACCTGTCTCCCTCGCAACCCCTGCTCTTATCTCACACCCGCCCAACCCCTCCCTATCAGGATTGTGACAAGCTAACCCAGGACGGCCTCTTCCATCTCTCCCACGCCTCTTCATTCAACTTCTTTCCTGGCACCAACAGGTAGGCATTACTGTTGCATGCATATCAACAGCTAGGTTGTCCACAGGTAGGCATTACTGTTACATGCATATCAACAGCTAGGTTGTCCACTGGTAGGCATTACTGTTACATGCATATCAACAGCTAGGTTGTCCACTGGTAGGCTGTTGTTGTTATGCAGTTGTGTGATCCAACAGTTTGACCATTACTTTTGCATGATTACATTACATTACACCAAAGGATACACATGTTGCAATAACAGTTGGCCTTTACCTCCACCAGTACATGGTGACAAACAATAGAAACACTTTTCACGGTTACATACAGTTAAGGTACACTTTCCATGCACATATACTGTACTTCCACCCATTCACAGTGCACCATGATTAATGAGTTCCTCCGTAAACTGAGTTAGCATCAGGGAGAGACTACAGGGGAGGTGCTTTGAGACGTCTCAAAACACTTCTTCAATCATGTGGAGAGACTACAGGGGAGGTGCGTGTGTCTCAATCAATAACTGACCCTCCTGTCTGTGGCTCTTCGTGTTGGAAATTTCCCTTTGTGCAGCATCGAGACTCTTGCTGTATTCACAACGGCCAAGCCACGCACGTTGTAGGTTCTGTGCTAAACAGCAGACAAGGTTTGAGCAATTGACGATGTGCACAGTACAAGACCATGCAGCTGTGATAGCTTGATTAGACGCCCCAGAGAAGCCACTCCACATCGGTACCTCTGCTCTGCTGAAATGTGTGCTGTGTTCATCTAGTGTTCCTTCTCTGGTATTCGTCTTCCTCTTGGCTTCGTTCGTACAAATGGTTTTAGTTTTTTTCACAGTGAGACTCATTCCAAATGAATTGGGTTTGGTGAGCGCACACAATCTTATTGGTTTTGGGCCACGTTGGTCTAACAAATTTCGGTGGCGGCCTTTTAGAATCAACGCCACTCATGCTCTACTTCGAAGTCCACTATCTCATCCTCAAGTACGGTACGGTATATGTGCTTTTGGCCTGATGCTACTGCTGAACTTCCTTGATTTCTTGTAGGCTGAGATTTGCAAATCAACATTTCTGCAAAAACATGCACAGCATATCTCATAGTGAAGCATCTTTCAGGCTGTTTGAGAAAATTGTCAATATAGTAAGTAAATACCCGAATGATAAATTTGCACACTAGTTTTGTACTGCGTCACTCGTAACGAATAACCCGGGGCACCTGAGCCGTCCGATCAAAGTACCAGCAGCATCCACGTGAGCCGTCCGATCAAGTTAGTCTCTATTTAGATTGAACAGGACTATTTTGCTTCTTGATATCTCGAGGACTAGTTACATTTCTGATGTGAGGTAAGTACACACTTGTAATACCGAAATCGCAGGTCACGAGCGACGGTACTGACTTGATAACCGTTTTCAAGCGAATCTCTCGTTACTCGTTTCCCAGCCCTTATCGGAGACGCGAATATTCGTCGGACGCGTGTAACCCTATCGTCACCACGAATTTTGAGTTTCGCACTCTTTTCGGTAGGGATAGGTGGACTTCGGATCGACCAGAAAACTAGGACCAGCCAGTAACAGTATGGCGAGTTCTGGTTCGCGTAGTGACGTGGCTCAAGGAGGAGTATGGCAGCCGGGACGACCTAGGCAGCAGCAGCCGGAGATTAAGAAGCTTCCTCTCGTCGACGAATCGTAAGCACTCCATCTCTAATGTCCTCTTCACGCCTGCTCCCGAGTCCCATCCTTCCCTTCCCCTTCTCCCTCCTCCCTTCTCCCTCCTTTCATTCTCTCCGGCCCACTTACCCCGCGTCCTTCTGTCCGTCTCGTCCTCTCGCCAGCACACCTTATCCCCTCCGTCCCTCCATCTCCACCGCATCAAACCCACCTGTCCTGTCCACTTGCCCGTCTGTCCTGCCATCCTCCCTCTACCCTTCCATTCCCTCCCGTCCTCACCCCAATCGCTCCACCACTCATCCCGCACTCTCCCACTGTTGAAGGTCGAGTTTTTAGCTCACACACTATTTTCCCGATCCGTCTCCCTCCCTCTTTCCACCAATCAGGTGTCAGCTGACTATCGAGCTTTACGAATGTCCATCGCTTCCCCCTCACCCCACCCTCTCTTCCCTCTCCCATTTCCTCTTTCCCCTGAATCAGGTTTTGGCTGAACATTGAGCTGCACGGATAGCCGAAGCCGAAAGGATAAGCTTCAATACACTCGTCACTTCCTCTCCACTCCCCCCTCTCCCCTCCCCACTCTCCCCTGAATCAGAGGCCCTCTTGAACATCGAGCTGCATGGGAAACCGAAGCGTACACTCACTCACCCACCCTCCCACCCCTCCTACCCTCCCCTCCCTCCCTTCTCTCCACTTAGATCAGTGGTCGCCTGAACATCGAGCTGCATGGATACCCGAAGCTGAACGTCTACTTCGTTGACCTCTTCCACACCCTGGTCAACGTGAGTCAATTTTTGTCAATGCGAGTCAATGCCTGAATCAGTGGTCGGTTGAAACTTGAACATAGAGCTGCACGGGTATCCGAAAGGGGTCTACTTCGTTGACCTCTTTCACACCCTGGTCAACATGAGTCATCGCCTTTTCCACACACTGGTCAAGTCAATGGCAAGTCAACGGCTGGTCAACATGAGTCAATGCCTGGTTAACGTGAGTCAATGCCTGGCCAACGTGAGGTCAACGTGAGTCAACTCCTGGCCAACACCTCTTCACGTGAGTCGATGAGTCAACTGTTGGTCAACGTAAGTGGTCAACTCGAGTCAACTCCTGGTCAACGTGAGTCAATGCATGGTGAACGAGTCTAGGCCTTCGTCATACCCTAATCGGTCAACGTGAGTCAACTCCTGGTCAACGTGAGTCAATGCATGGTGAACGAGTCTAGGCCTTCGTCATACCCTAATCGGTCAATGTGAGTCATCAATCTCCGCCACCATTACGTCCCAAAACCCGTACCAACCGCCCCTCTCCCTCCCTTTCCCTCCTCGCCCTCCAGATGCCGCTCAAGCGCTTCTCAGCTGTGCTCGTGGCGGCCTATGCCGCCCTCTTTGTCACCTTCGCCATCCCCTTCCTCGCCTTCGTAAGCCCTTTCATTCGCCTTCGTAAGCCTCTCATTCTCTCACTCCCCTTTGTGAGCTTCCTCTCCCCCTCGCCCCACTCCCCTCATCGCTTGTGGCGACCTATGCTGCCCTCTTTGTCACCTTCGCCATCCCCTTCCTCGCCTTCATGAGCTCCGTCTCTCTCCCTTCCTTCATACCCACCTCCCCTTCCGTGCCTTTAGCCCTCTCTCTCTTACGCTGTTCTTTTTCGCCCTTGTTTAGTCACCCTACTTCCTTCCCGCACTCCCTGCATTGCTTGTCGCGGCCTATGCCTCACCTTCGCGGGCTCTCTCCCCCTTTCCCCCACTCTTCCTCCTCGCTTTGTGAGCCGTCTCCGTCCCTCACTCCCCTCCCACACTCCCATGCCTGCCCCCACCTTGGTGCCAGGCTCGAGTGGACGGTCTGGATTGCCTGCCGGGTGTGAAGCGGCTGGATCACGCGGTGTGGTTCACGTGAGTGCAGTCCAGCCAGTGTGCTGGCATTTGTTTAGTCTCAAAAAATATCTTTTATCACGTTTTTGAGACGTCCCAAAACTCTCTTATATCACGTGAGTGCAGTGCATGGGGTGTGCTGGCATGTGTTATTGATGTGTGCTGTGGGTTGCACTCTTTAGTCGACTCAACAACGGTCTGGAATTGTTTGCCGGGGTTGAAGCGACTGGATCAGACAGTGTGGTTCACGTGAGTGCAGTCCAGCCAGTGTGCTGGTGTTGTGAGCCAGTGCCAGTGTGCTGGTGTTGTGAGCCAGTGCCAGTGTGCTGGTGTTGTGAGCCAGTGCCGGTGTAGATTCACATTCGCTAGTGTGCAAACACTGTTGTGAGCGTGCCACGTTCAGTGCATGCATATGCGGTAAATTATTGCGCATTTCCAGTTTTGAAAAAAAAAACTAAAAAATCCTTCACTGCACATGTGCGGTACACCCAACGCTGCTGTGCATCATTGTTGTGTGCACGCACACATATGTATGCGTGCGTGCGTGCGTGCGTGCACGTGTATGTCCTCATATGCGTGCATGTGGGTGTGAGCATTCACAGCCGCGTGCCATTCATCCATCCTTCTTAACACCGATCCTGTCCCTTCCCATTCTTGTGCTGCTTCTTTCTAACTTCACTAACTCATCTGCTGCTGCCTCCCCTCACTCGGCGGTGGGTGATGGCTGCTGGGTGTGATGGGTGAAATTTCCTTCGACTGATGCTGTCGCTGGTGCTCGCTCGTTTCATCATCTGTCGCATCCTTCAACAGTGTGCAATCCTCCATGTCAATTGGTCAGTCACCTCATTCCCCTCCACTCTCGCTCTTCAGCTAATTCTTTCCATCATTACTCTGTCACACACGCACTTCATCAGCTCCACACTCACATACCTGTCAAATCCCCGCCTTTCTTGCTCTCTCAACACACCACCGTAGCTTCTTTATTCTCGTCTCATTCACCCGCTTATTCAGCCACCGTTTATGCTTTCCAAATAGCTCCTCCCGCTAAAACGCTCATCGTAGTCTGCATAGTTTAGTAAATCATGATAGGTTGCCATCCAGTCTCTAATTTACCAGTTGGAAGAATTAGGAAGCTGGAACATTTCCATGTTTTATCTAAAACTTCAAAACGGCAACCACGACGGGGATCGAACCCGCGACCTTTCGATCCGAAGTCGAACGCGCTAATCCACTGCGCTACGCGGTTGTGTTATGAGTGCAAATGCTCGGCTTATGTACCATTTTTTCGTTCACTTACTGGCCTATCTCCTTTTCCTTTCTTTACAATCCTGTCTTCATTTCTCAGGATTCGGTGGCGATCTCACACCCCACCCGGACTGCTTCGTTGTCAACTTCTTCGTCGCTGTCCTCTCCGTGGTCACCCTCGGATTCGCCTACGCCCTCCTTGGTGTTTTCTATGTCAAGTACGTGCTTTCGTCACACATGTGTGTCTCTTAACTTGTTCTTGGTATCAACTTCTTTATTTCTGTGCTCGCCGTGGTGACCCTGAAGTTTTCCCACGCCCTGCTGGGTGTCTTCTATGTCAAGTAGGTGCTTTCTCCACAATGTGTTTCGCTTGCCTGTGTTGCCGTCAATCGACTTCTCGTCCTGGTCCCCATCTGTAATCATTCCGGGATCACTCTCGGATTCGCCGGCTCCCTACTGAGTGTCTTCTATGTCAAGTACGCGCTTTCTCCACAATGTGTTTCCCATGCCTGTGTTGCTGCTGTCACCTTCTCTGCCGCTGTCCTCTCCGTGGTCACCCTTGGATTCGCCTACATTTTCGTCGGTGTCTTCTACATCAAGTACGTGCCTTCTCTACGCGTGCTTCCCTTGCCCCTGTTGTTCTCGTCAACTTCCTTGTCGCTGTGGTTCGCATCTGGAATATTTCTGCTCTGAAATCACTCTCTCGGATTCGTCTACGCCCTGCTCGGAGTCTTCTAGTTGAGTCGACTACAAAAACAAATTGCCCACACCCTGCTGGGTGTCTTCTACGTGAATTACATGCTTTCTCCACGCGTGCTTTCTCCACGCGTGCTTTCTCCACGCGTGCTTCCCTTGCCTGTGTTGGAATTCTCATCGTCTCTGTCGCTGTGCTCTCCACGGTAACTGTGGAATTCGACTATGCCCTGCCCTGCTTGCTCGGTGTGTTCTACGTAAAATGCGTGTTTTCGTCACACATGTGTGTCCCTTAACTTGTTCTTGGTGTCAACTTTTTTGTTGGTATGCTCGCTGTGGTGACCCTGAGTGGGGAGTGGGGAGTGGGGAGTGGGGAATGGGGAATGGGGAATGGGGAGTGGGGAATGGGGAGTGGGGAGTGGGGAGTGGGGAATGGGGAGTGGGGAGTGGGGAATGGGGAGTGGGGAGTGGGGAGTGGGGAATGGGGAGTGGGGAGTGGGGAATGGGGAGTGGAGAATGGGGAGTGGGGAATGGGGAGCGGGGAATGGGGAATGGGGAGTGGGGAATGGGGAGTGGGGAGTGGGGAATGGGGAGGGGAGTGGGGAATGGGGAGTGGGGAGTGGGGAATGGGGAGTGGGGAGTGGGGAATGGGGAGTGGGGAATGGGGAGTGGGGAATGGGGAATGGGGAATTGTGAGTGGGGAATGGGGAGTGGGGAGTGGGGAATGGGGAGTGGGGAGTGGGAAATGGGGAGTTTGTAATGGGGAGTGGGGAGTGGGGAATGGGGAGTGGGGAATGGGGAGTGGGGAATGGGGAGTGGGGAGTGGGGAATGGGGAGTGGGGAGTGGGGAATGGGGAGTGGGGAGTGGGGAAAACTGGGGAATGGGGAGGTGGGAGAGTGAGAAGTGGGGAGAGGGTAGCGGGGCGACTCAAGAACATGCAACATTAATGTGTAGTCTCTTCTCATCCATATCTCCGCACCACCATGCCCCACATGCCATGCCTCCCAATGCAGGTTCTCTCGCCCCACCCGGCGTGCCGGCACGATCAAGTTCAGCCAGTACATGGTCATGTACGAGGTATGCTGTGGTACAATGCGGTATGGTGCGGTACGGTGCGCTGCGGTGTGTTATGGTGCGGTTGGGTGTGGTGTGGTGATGTGCGGTGTGCTGTGGTATGGCCATGTAAAAGGTATGGTGCGTGTGCGCCGTGGTGGTGCATGCATGCATGGGCATGTATAGAAGGAACCACTCGTCTTTTATGCCACGTCGCATCACACATCCCTCTGAACCAACCTTGTGCATCTCTCTACCCCGTGTTCTGTACCTGTCCTTGCCGCCTCGATTCCACCTGCTCTCCTGCACTCCACTCGCGTCTGCCCCTCTGTCAGACTGTCACTCCACCTCTCCGCCTCTACCTTGTGTTGTTCTGTACCTCTCCTTGCCCCTTTACTTCCACTCCACACACTCTCCTGCATGTTGTAGGCGTTTTGTGAGAATCAAGAAAGAAGAAATAAACGCGCACTCACGTCCGTCCTCACTCCCTGCTGCCGCTCTCTCTCCCTCCCCGCCTGTCTCCAACTAATCCTCTCTCCCCCTCTGCCTCTCCACATCTCCGTCCCCCCACATCTCTGCATCCCGTCGTAACTCAACCTCTGTCCACCGCTTTCCACCTCTTGGATTGCCCACAGGAGCTTGGGCAGCTCCGCCTCTCCTTCCGAGTGGCTGATTTCAGGAAGCATCAAATCATATCTGTAAGCATCAAATGATATCTGTAAGCATCAAATGATATCTATTACCATCAAATCATATCTATGAGCATCAAATCGTATTCGTAAGCTTACCATTATATCTGTCAGCATTAAACGATGTCCGTAAGCATGGAATCTTATTTGTAAGCACTAATTCATATCTGTGAGCGTCAAATCATGTATGTATGCTCCAAAATTTATCTAGCATCAATTTCTATGTAGCATAAAATCATGTGCATGGGCCTGATGCTGTGCGCATGTGCGCATGCTAGCGGCACTCAACAACAACATCCATGCCCACGAGGACGAGGCGGTCGTCAATTCCGCTAAGCTGCCTGCCACCCATTCCCCGCCCTCCTTATATGGTCTCTATTCCACCAGGCGCGCGTGCGCATGCTAGAAGCACTCAACAACAACATCCGTGCCCACGAGGACGAGGCGGTCGTCAATTCCGCTAAGCTGCCTGCCACCCATTCCCCCTTCTTTCGCCCTCCTTATATGGTCCCTATTCCACCAGGCGCGCGTGAGGATGAGGCAGTGTTCAAGTTCTCCCAGCCACCTGCTGCTGCACATTGCCCCTCCAATCCCGTCCTTGCATTGCCCTCCCCCCATCAGGCGCATGTGCGCATGCTAGCAGCGCTCGACAACAACATTTCAGCTCACGAGGACAAGGCGGTGTTCAAGTTCTCCCAGCTTCTTGTCACCCGCCAGTTACCTGTCTTTTCACTTCACACTCCCAACGTTTTCCCCTTTCACCAGGCGCATGTGCGCATGCTAGCGGCACTGAACAACAACATCCTAGCACATGAAGACGAGGCGGTCTTTAAGTTCTCCCAGCTGCCTGTGGCTGGCGGCAGTCAGATCTACCTGGGGCTGCCCTGCACTGTCACACACGCCGTCACGCACGGAAGCCCGCTATATGGGCTCTCACACTCGGTAAGGGCACAAGGCGACCAGGAGTGGCAAGGGACCGGAGTGGCAGGTGCAGTTCTCTCATCCCAGCTGCCTGTGGCTGGCGGCAGTCAGATCTACCTGGGGCTGCCCTGCACTTTCACACACGCTGTCACGCTGGTGTGCATCCATCCATGGTCCCATGCTGCTCTCTCCCATTCGTCTTGTGCTTTTCTCTCCCCCCCTCTGTTCAGATGATGGAGCAGTCAGACCTCGAGATCCTGGTGCTGCTGGAGGCAGTGGTGGCTGTGTGCGACTCCTCTTTCCCCCCTCCCGCCCCATGGTTCTTCTTGGCTCTCTGCTCACCCCTCCCTCACAGATGATGGAGCGACCCCCTTCCTATCCAGATGATGGAGCGGTCAGACCTCGAGATCCTGGTGCTGCTGGAGAGATGCCATCCCATCGCCATATTTCCATCTTACCTTCCCTTCCCGTTCCCATGTGCTCCTCGTTTCCGTCCCCTCCCCCGCTCCTCCTAACCAGATGATGGAGCGGGCAGGCCGCGAGAGCTTAGTGCTGCTGGAGGCGGTAGACTCCTCCACCTCTGCCAGTAGACCCATCTCCTTATGTTCACATCTGCTGCTCACTTCCCTGTTCTTCCTCCTCCCCCTCTGCTCTTCAGATGATGGAGAGATCAGACCTCGAGATTCTAGTGCTGCTGACGGCAGGCGACTCGACTGCTCCTCCTCCCCCTACCCCTCTTGCTGTGCTCAACTCCCCGTGCACATTCCGTGCTCCTACACCCCTCTCTCCCCTTCCCTCCTCTGCAGATGATGGAGCGATCAGACCTCGAGATCTTGGTGCTGCTAGAGGCGGTCGACTGTTCCACCTCTGCCACCTTGCAAGGTGACTGTAGAGCGAGGTGCCTGTAGCGAGGGCTACAAAGTGCCCTTAGGGCTGCTCTAATGTGACTGTAGTGAGGTGATTGTGCGAGGTGATTTCGAGATCCTGGTGCTGCTGGAGGCTGTCGACTGCTCCACGTCTGCCACCCTACAAGGTGATTGTAACGAGGGATATAGGGCACAAGGTGACAGTTTGGAATGCTGCAAGGTGACTGTAGCGAGGTGACTGTATCGAGGTGACTGTAACGAGGTTACTGTAGCGAGGGCGACAAGGTGGCAGTTTGGGATGCTGTTAAGCGGTGATTGTAACGAGGCTACTATAGCAAGCAAGGTAACTGTGATGAGAGGTAATAGTTTTACGAGGTGACTGTAGGGAGATCATTGCAACGAGCCTATAGGACGTTTTAGTAAACACACCATAAAATATACATCACCCACATTCATCGAGGTTTCCAGCCGATCTTATTGACGATTGGCCCCAATTTTCTAGCTGCCTCTCTCACCAAATCAACCTCTCTTACAGCACGCTCATCTCACTCCACAAGGGGATGAGTTGATTTCCCAGTTGAAACGCGGTTGGTGAATGGAGATCATGTTTTAGGAGGCTTAAAATCCTGTTCCATTCTTCCACCAGTGCCTTCCTTGTCCTTGTGTCCATGTGTCCATGTGTTCTGTTCTTTAACCTGCTGCCCTGTCCGCATCAACCACTGTTATTTTCTTGAACTAGCTGCCTTGAGACGTCTCAATACTATTTTCTTGAACTAGCTGCCCATTCCAGATCAAACACTGCGCTCACCTTTCTCAATTCCTTTTGTCGCCCCTCTCACACTCAATTTTTTATCTATCCCATCGCTGCCTCCTTGTGCGTGTGTTATGCTTGTCTTGCAGTGCGCCACTCCTACCGCCCGTGTGACATAAAACACAACTACCGCTTTGTGTGAGTGCACGCCTGTTTGTTCCTCCTCTCTGCCCTGTCACCAACACTAGTTTGTGTGCTCCAAATCAAGCTTTTCTCATCTCCCTCTTCGAGAATTCCCAAATGGGATACACACATGTGTGATGAGGCGATTTTTGAGTCGACTCAAAAATTCCCAAATGGGATTTTTGAGTCGACTAAAAAATTCCCAAATGGGATACACACATGTGTGATGAGGCGATTTTCGAGTCGACTCTTCGAGAATTCCCAAATGGGATACACACATGTGCATCCACCGCTTTGTTCGCGTTCATGTTGTGCCCACCCATCCGCTCCCTCTATCCTCAACCCCTCCTCCAAACCACCTGAATACCCCCCTCTCCTCCCCCCTCCCCCTCTTCCCCCCCAACCCCTACCACCTCAGCCACCTGATTATTCCCCAAACCACCTGAACGTCTCCCCATCACCTGAACTTCTGTCTCACTCTCTCCACCCCAACCAATGGAGTGTGGCCTACCAACACAACAGATAGTCCTCATATTGGCACTGTGTTGTGTTGCAACCTTCGAGGTCACAGGGAGTATGCCACCTTCGAGGTGACCTTTGGGTTGTCTCAGAAGTTACCCCCCACTGAAATATTCTGCCTTCTCCCTCCACCCTAGACATGAGCAAAAGGGCGAACACCTGTTCGGTTCGCCTCGAACGTGTTCGAGGCGAACCGAACAGGTTTGTTTTTTTTGCTTAAATTGTTTGCCGAACAGTGTTCGATGTTCGCCCGAACACGTTCGTGTTCGGGCCGCTGCTGCAATTTGCCCCGCGACGAACACGAACGTGTTCGATGTTCGCCCGAACATGCCTTCACAGGCGAACGGCGAACACGTGTTTTTGCTTAAAGTGTTCGCCGAACCGAACAGTGTTCGGTTCGGCAAACGGATGTGTTCGTCTAGGGGCGAACACGAACATGTTCGTGTTCGCCCCTTGCTCATCCCTACTCCACCCACCCCCCTTTAAACCCACAGGAAGATGCTTTATCGAGTTACAAACCGTCAGCGCTGTGTGTGGTACGACATGACTCCTCCCTGACCCTCCCCACGCCACCCTCCCTGCCCTTCCCGTGCCTGCCTCTCCACCATCCCCAATCCCCTCGAACCCTACAGGAAAATGGTTTATCGAGCTGCAAACGGCCGGCGCTGTGTGGTATGTCTCCCCCCTGCACCTCTCTGCAATCATATCTCCCACCCCGTTTCTCTCCACCATCCCTCCTCCTCTCTCCACCATCCCTCCTCCTCTCTCCACCATCCCTCCTCCTCTCTCCACCATCCCTCCCCTTCTCTCCGCCATCCATCCCTCCTCCTCTCTCCATCCACTGTCCCATCTCTCCACCTTACATCCTTTTTCAAACAGTCTTCTGCTCTCGAATGGTCCTTTGTTCTAATGAGCGTGGAAAAATAGGCTGGCTGAATGTTGACGGGAAAAGCGTGGGAGCCTCTTTCACTATTGGCACTCATTTTAGGCACCTTAAAAGAGTCACTACTCATGAGGCATGGCATGGCATGGCATGGTATGGCGTGGCATGGCTTGACATGGCTTTGTCTGGTATGGCACGCACGGTATGGATTTGCATCTCAATGCATTGTTTTCTTTGGCATTGTGTGGCATTGTACAGCATTGTACGGCATTGTACGGCATTGTGTGGCATTGTACGGCATTGTATGGCACATAAACCCTGCAGGACTTTTCTCTCTTTGATGCCATCGTGTCAGCCTCAGACCCCTGCGCCCAACCCCTCCGTCTGCCGTACCCTCTCACCCGCACCCCCTCCTTTCTCTCCCGTCCCTCTACTCTCTCCCTCCTCATTGCAGGAATTTTCTCTCTTTGATGCAATCGTGTCAGCCTCACACCCCTCAGCTCAACCCCTCCATCCGCCCTCCTTTCTCACCCGCCCCCCTCCTTTCTCCCCCTTCGCATACCATGTCTGCAGGATTTCTCTCTGTTCGATGCAATCGTGTCAGCTTCAGACCCCTCAGCTCAACCCCTCCGTCCACCCTCGCTAACCCGCCCCTCTTCCTTCCTCTCCCTCCTCAACCTCGCCGCTGCTCCCTCCTCCTCTGCTGCTGCTCCGTCCTCCTCCTCCTCCCCTGCCGCTGCTCCTGCTCAAGCTCTCACCCCGGTTCCTGCTCTAACCCCCACTCTTGCTCCCATAATTCCTGCCTCTCCACCAACAGTTGCTGCTAGCAGCACTGCAGCCACCTCCACTGTTCCCCGCATTGCTCCTCCGCCCATTGCTCCTCCGCCCATTGCTCCTCCGCCCATTGCTCCTCCGCCCGTTGCTCCTCTGCCCGTTGCTCCCCCCCCCGTTGCTCCTCCGCCCATTGCTCCCCCCCCCATTGCTCCTCCTCCTATTGGTGCTCCCCCCATCGTTCCCCCAAGCCAACATGCCAATGCCTACCCCCCAGCCCCTTCAATTTTCCTCCCCATCTCTCAACCCCTGCCGCCCAACCCTTCCCCGACCATTACCGCGCTCCCTCTCACCCCCCCACTCCCCTCCCCACTCCTCTCCACGCCTCTTCACCGCGTGCCACCCACCACACCATCCACACCCCTGGCGAGTGATAGTGCAGACGCACAAAGCAGACACTCACAGGCAATAAGCACGCACCCTCGGCCAAAGGTGCAGATCCAACAGCAGCAGGCACAGCAGCAGCCACAGCAGCAGCAGCAGCAGCAGCAGCAGCAGCCACAGCAGCAGCCACAGCAGAAACGGCACCAGCAATACCAGCTCCCGCTCAGCTCCTCCCCCTCTGACTTCCCTGCCGCCACCTCCCTTAGCACTTGGATTCACGGTTCTGCTGGTAATTCCGTTTCAGACATGCATGGTGCTACTGTTTCTGCTAACAGCAATGCTCCTGCTGCTGCTGTTCCGGCTGCCACCTCGCTTAGCACATGGATTCACGGTTCTGCTGGTAATTCTCTTTCCGACATACATGGTGCTGCAGATAACATTTCTGTTACAGCTGATGTTGGTGGGAAACGGACAAGGGAGGGCGGGAGTGAGAGAGTGGGGGGTGGATCACCAGAAACAGCGGCAGAAGCAGCAGCAGCTGGGAAAGAGTGTGAGGAGCCTAGTGAGGGGTCAGAGGAAGGATTGGAGGCCGATGGTGGAGGGGAAGGGGTGGAAGAGGTGGCAGCGGGAGAGACTGACGAGGGTGATGAGGAGGAGGAGTTGAGGATGATGGAGAATGACTATGAGATGCAGGTAGGTGCAGTTAGCAATCAGCATGTATGTGAGCATGCGTGCTTGTAAGCAGGTGTTGAATACTGTGATGAGGAGGAGGAATTGATTATGAGCAGTAGGTATGGACAATGCTATACATATGCATCTGTGTTTGTATGCAAAACGAGCTGCTGTTGTCCATGTGTGCATGGTGATGCCGACGAGGAGTTGAGTACGATGGAGAATGACAATGAGCAGCAGGTAGGTGCGATTGCATGAGTGAAGGATGATGGAGGAGGATTATGAGCGACTAGCATGTGTACAGAGCCGGTCGAGGGTGATGAGGAGGAGGAGTTGAGGATGATGGAGAATGAAAATCAGCAGAAGGTAGGTGCGATGAGAAAGTAGGTGCGATGAGAAGGTAGGTGCGATGAGAAGATAGGTGCGATGAGAAGGTAGGTGCGATGAGAAGGTAGGTGCGATGAGAAGGTAGGTGCGATGAGCAGGTAGGTGCGATGAGCAGGTAGGTGCGATGAGCAGGTAGGTGCGATGAGCAGGTAGGTGCGATGAGCAGGTAGGTGCGCAAGCATCCAGAATCACGCCCATCTTCATGTGCATGATTGCTTGAGCATGCATGTCTGTGTGTCAAAAGCGGTACGTTGTAAGCGTGTTAAGAGCATCCATTTATGGTCTTTAAAGTGCTTCATAAGTTGTTTACGGTCCTCCTGAGTGTTGTGTTACTTCCTCTTCAGCCATAGAAGCTTGTCAAACGAGCACGAATTACATGGTGTGACAGCTCTTCCTCCTGCCTCCATCCACGTCGTTTCTATTTTGGGGAACACCTTTAATCACTGATCCCACTCACTCAGCACAATGACAATCCAGCCATCTCCCATTTTCCCCCTTTCTTCTCTTGCCTCCCATCAGGTGCAGCAGGCGGAGAAGAGAGCCCTGTGGTGGCGCCATGCAGCCATTGAGCTGACCTCTCCGTTTTAAGCCCTTTATTCACCCCGTCTCACCCGTTCCCAATTCGCCCTACCATTCCCTATCCCCCTTTCCTGGCCCCTGCAGCCCCACCTGCCCTCATCAGGTGCAGAAGGCGGTGAAATTGCCCTGTGGTGGTGCCATGCAACCACATAGCTGACTGCTCCCCCCACCTGTGCTCCCCTGCCCCTCTTCCTCCCCTTATCCTGACCCGTGCCTGCCCTCATCAGGTGCAGCAGGCAGAGGAGAGAGCCTTGTGGGGCAACTATAGAGCTCCCTTTACCCCTTTCCACTCCCCATCTCGCCCTTTCCCAATTGCCTTATCTGCCCTCGGCCTCCCCCCTGCCTCCCCCCTGCCTCCCCCCCGCCTGCCCCCCCCAGGTGCAGCAGGCGGAGGACAGAGCCCTCTGGTGGCACACCATGCAACCATTCACCTTACTGATCCTTCCTCCCATGCGTGCCCCCCAACCGTCGCCTCTACCTGTCTCCATCAGGTGCAGCAGGCGGAGGACAGAGCCCTCTGGTGGCGCCATGCAACAATCGAGCTCGCCTCCCGCATACTGCACTGCACCGCTCTGTACCCCTCTGCACCGCAATCAGCGTTACCCAAAAGCAGCAGTGATGATGTCATGTCTGATCTGCTATGCAGCGGTGTCAACGATAGCGGTTCAGGAGGAGGATCGGGAGAAGAAGAACCCTTAGTGCCAGAAGCAGAAGCAGTAGGTTTTGTGGAAGGCCAGAGTCGGAGCAGCAGCACTGGTGGGTCGATTCCGTGTGACACTATCGAGGAAAGGAGTGCGGCAGTTTCGAGTGTGCTGCTGCCGATCGCCTCTATTGCCACGGCTGTTTCAGCGGCAGCAGCGCTGGCAGACTCACCAGAAGCACAGCTGCTGCAGGCTGCAAGGGAGGCGCTGAATAAGGCTCTGTGCTTCGAGAATGAATGACTAGCATGGCCGACCCGTGTTACGGCGACACGTGTAAATATTATGGGTTATCCACAGTTTTGCTGTGCCGTTACCTTTTTTTTTTTAATGGTAATTTTGACCTGTCGTTGTAGTCGTGCACTTAGCACCCACATGTCTACTTAGCACCCACATCTCTACTTGGAATCCACATGTCTACTTAGCACCAACATGTTTACTTAGCAACCACATGTCTACTTGTCTGTCCCCTCCCCATGAATTGTGTTACATAAAATGCAAGATGTGACTTCTGAGTGCACCGTAGTCCTTCCTGAAAATGCACATGTGCCGTCTATCATGCAAGCAGCCAAGCGAAACCAACAGCCATGGTGACGGAAGTGGCAATGTAGCCTGCCAAAGAAAGAAGCACAGCAACAAACAGCTTTCAGTCAGCCACTCCGTTACAGTCACAAGAGGGAAATAGGGACGCCAAAATACAAACAAACAAACAACAAAAAAGGATGTGTCATAAAACAGAGTACAAGTTTACTGTACCAAGCTTGATCGAAGAGGAGGAAGCAGCATTGCCATTGGTAGTGGAATTGGAGCCTGTTCCACTGGGAGGCGAAGTGCTGGTTGATCCGCTCCCACTGGGAGGTGCAGTAGTTGTTGATCCGCTTGATCCGCTCCCAGAGATGATATCAGTAGGCTGCACTTTCACACCCGTGGAGGCAGAGATCATGGTTCAATTCGTAAATACAGTCAGGTCTCCAGCAGTCGCCCCCGACTTGTCCGAGTTTACTACAGGTTGAAGCGGCGTTCCACTGACATCTGTGTAGGTCCCATCTTCGTTCCTAACGGTGCCGCCAATAATCGTGCCGCCAATAATCGTGCCGCCGTTCGAAAGTGGAGAAAATATCACTCCGTCGTCGGGACCAGTGATAGTGTTGTTAGGGTAGGTGTAACAGTGCAGCAGGCGAGTGCTGCCAACTGCAATACAAGTGGGCGGAGGTCAACTGTAACAGTGCAGCAGCACGTAGCCAAATACAGTGCAAGTGGACGGAAGTCAAGCGTCACCACACCAACAGTCCGGATTGGTCAAGCGCCTCAACCTGCAGCTGGGCGACCAGGTCCTGACGCGCAGCCCAAGTCAAACCCACTCGCGAAAATTACGAAACGCAGAACACCGAAGTTCCGACCCCTCGCCGACTTCGCCAAACACGCCGACGAAGTTACAGCCCCGTGATCAACTCGCCGACCAATCCCGCATCGCAATCAATCTCTGAATTTCACGGCAAGGTTCATTTCAAGGGGTCGAGTTACCAATAAGAAATTCAGAGTGTCGCGACTTGGTAGTGCGACTCGATTTGTGAATGCATCCTATAAAATTGTATGTGAAAATTGTTGAAGTGATATTGGAAATTCAAGAGAACTCAAGAGAGCATCTTGTACCCGTTTTCCAAGCATACTAAGGCGCCACCTTCCCTGCCTAGCTCGTTTCAGTAGGCGGTGTAGCCTCCGACGGATTGAGACCCATCCCCGTTCTTGGTGGGGGTCACAACGTTTCCACTGGAATCCACAACGGTTTTATTGGAAAACATTATATACCCGCCGACGGAAACTGAGACGGCCTCTGCACGGCGTGCCGTGAGCGCGAGTGTCGCAACGGCGGCGAGGAGCAGCACGACGACGTGAAAAGGCCGAGAGGCGAGACGGAGAGCCATGGCGGTAGTACTCGTACGAATAACAGGAAAGATAAAACAGCTGAGCAAACTGAAAACGCTTTACGGTCTGCTTCATCGTGACTGCTGAAATACTGGCAAGAGTGCGCTACTCCCACTAGCCCTTTCCTCCCCGCATGCCTTGCACCACTGCCCCCAGTTCCCCATTCCGCCGCTGCACGCGCTCCCCGTTCCGCCGCTGCACGCGCTCCCATTCCGCCGCTGCACGTGCTCCGTCCATGTGGTGTACTGAGACGGTAAAACCTCCTCTCCGTTCAGGAATCACGATCAATGAGCTAGGATGCAGAGCAATCATCCTGTCGCACAGACACACCATGCCTTGCACCTGCCCCCCGTTCCCCATTCCGCCGCTGTATGCGCTCCGTCGATGTGGTGTACTGAGACGGCATTACCTCCTATCCATTCAGGAATCACGATCTATGAACTAAGATGTCGCAGAGCATTCTCTGTTGGGCACAGACCCACAGACAAACCCTATTTCACTGTCATTCTCGCGATTGTGATAGGGTTACTCATTTGGTGGTTTCGCAGTTTAGTCCGCCAAATCAATTGTGCGGCGAAATCTTGTGCGATGCATTTTAAGATTTTCGTAGTCGCCCTCGTTTTCGCCATGTGCCAACGGTAAATCGAGTTCTACGTACTGTGGGATGTTGCAAAATGGTAACTGTCGACGAAGGCCTTGCAATTCGTTTCATGCACGAAAACTATGTTCCACGCCCTCCTGACCTGCTGTCTTTCAACCACCGCCATCATTCTGGGCCCCTCTCGGGCAGGTTTTAAGTTTAAGTTTTAAGTTTTTATTATGGTCGTAACCGCATACAGTTACGACTATCGATGTTCTCTTGCATAGGGTCCGTCCTCGTAAGCCTTAGGAACCAATGAGCTTGGGGTAGGTTCGTCCTCGTAAGCCTCAGAAACGAATGAGTTTTGGGTAGGGTTCGTCCACGTTAGCCTCAGAAACGAATGAGTTTTGGGTAGGGTTCGTCCACGTAAGCCTCAGAAACGAATGAGTTTTGGGTAGGGTTCGTCCACGTAAGCCTCAGAAACGAATGAGTTTTGGGTAGGGTTCGTCCACGTAAGCCTCAGAAACGGATTAGCTTAGGGTTGGATCAGGCTCCGAGAGAATTGCTCCAGTGCCTTGTTTGGTGATTCGCTCTTGCCCACGTGTCTCCAAATTGCTCGAGTGGCCATCAAATTCAGTGATAATTGCTCGAGTGGCCATGCCAGGGCATTTTCGAGGGGTTTTTTTTTCTCCGGCACATTACCCTACCAGCATTTGTATCCCCGAAATTCCTCGTTCGCACGAGTCTCATCCCGCGGTAGTGATTCGTATTATTCCCCACCCGAAAATTTCGGGTGGTTGGCGGGCGCGAACGTGGCCCGACCAACAGAATATGCGCGGCCATTTTCGCCCCAGTGCGCGACCAATGAGCGCGCGGGCAAACAAAGTCGTAACCAATAAGCGGTCGAGCATATAAATCCGCGATCATAAACCTCAATCGACCAGCATCAAACCGCAACAGTCCTAACGACCGCGCATGATTCGTCAATGATATGCTCGGTGCAATTGTTGGCATTACACGTCCAATCAGGTGCCATCATTAAGTATTGCGACCATATTTGACCGCGCAAATGAAACTCAATTTACTTTATGATCTCGCCAATCATATGCTAAAAACACTCGCACAAACATAAACTCTGGCCAATTAGGTTCAAATTAAAACGCTCAAACTCAGTTTGGTACGCCTGTATCATCTTCCCGCGCATTATGATTTGAAACATATGCTACAGATTGCTCACACCATTTCCTCGTTGTTTTAGGGTTGACATCTACCCTAGCCTTCGATTAGACCACTTAGGTCCTTACAAGAGGTTCTTCTAGGAGCTTTTCCGCCTTGAACGTTCCTATTAGCCGCAATGGGTTCGATGTCTTACACCTCTAACACAGAGTCCGACTCAGGCGATGAAGATACAGAGTTAAGCTTCGTTGGAACTGGAGAGCCCAAACAAAGTGATATGTACCGTGCGTTGCTCCGGGAAATGGTCGTCGACGAGGACCGCTCGCCACAAATTGTGATAGATGATCGAGCCTCGTTGTGTGAAGGTCAACTATACTCGTCTAAGCAATTTCTGTACGAAGCACTAGAAGACTATTCGGTAGCTTGCAACTTCAGATTTATAATTGAGGAGTAGGCGAAACAGAGTCCACGCCATATGCATGAGTCAACATGAGCGTCTTAAACCAGCGTGCAGGTGGCGGTGTGAGTACTCCACTGACGGTGTGGGTGGGTTTTGGCGTGTTGACAAACTGTTCGCCCCATCATCTCATTGCTGCTCACCCGTTGATCAGGACCGCTACGTGAAGCATACAACAAATAAAGTGTCATATCTGCAGCGTCATCATGGCAACCTTGTCCATGCTGCACCACATCACCCTCCCGGGACGTACAAGGATCAGATTGCGTCAACCGGTGGTCCGGATATCAATTATCACCAATCATGGCGGTACGTCTCGAAACATTCTCTCCATATCGCTTCCATTGTCACATGCACATTCTTAAGCACACCATTCACCTTCTGTTTTCTCAACGTGCCTATCTTTTCTCGCACATCGTCATCCGTCATTGTAGGCTCAAGGAAAGGATGCTGAAGGAGCGCTTTGGAGATTGGAAAACTTCTTTCCGCTACATTCCTCGGGTGTTGGAACGGCTCAGAGAGATTGAACCTGATTCAACGCTCGACCTTGTGACGAGGGATCACGCTTTCTTCCGGGCTTTTGCCGCCCCATCGGCATCAAAAACTGCTTTAAGGTTCTGCCGACCGGTCATTGGCATGGATGGTACATTTATCATTCGGGCGCAGCGGGCTACGCTCTTGGTTGCGGCTGCTAAAGATGGAAATAACCAGCTTGTTCCACTCGCTTTCGGTCTGTGCGAGAGCGAGAATAAAGACAGCTGGAAGTGGTTTTGTGAGAAGTTGTTGACGCATTTTCCTTCGTGGCCGGCTACCCACGATGCTTCCCTTATCAGTGATCGTGATAAAGGGTTAATACCGGCGGTTAAAGAAGTGTTCCCATCCCAGTTCCCCCACTACTTTTGCAGCTGGCATTTGGAGCAGAATGTGCTGAAGTTTGGCCCTAACGCCTCTGAACTCTTCAAGAAGCTCGCAAACTGCCGCACGAAGCGGAAGTTTGGCAAACTCGTGAGGAGATGCCGGGCCGAGTGTGCTGCAATGGCGAACTACCTCTTTGGGGTCGAAGAGGCCCGTGTGCAGCAGACCCATGGCGGACGGGGAGCCGACCAGCGTGCAAGGGAGCCAGAGGGCGGGGATGGGTTACGGAGCCGGACGGGTGCGGCACAACGAGCCAGAATGGCAAGGATGGAAGTGCGGCGGCAAAGGAGGAGTGGTCGCAGGGGAGACCAGCAGACACCATCTCGGCAGCCACCATCTCAGCAGCCACCATCTCAGCATCCACCAACTCAGCAGCCACCATATCAGCAGCCACCACTTCAGCAGCAACCATGCCAGCAGCCACCATCTCAGCAACCACCATATCAGCAGCCACCACTTCATCAGCAACCATCCCAGCAGCCATCATCTCAGCAGCAGCCATCTCAGCAGCCCCATAGGGACCATGGGTTCAGACCCATGCCAACTGCGAATCATACTCGTGACCGCCCTTGTGACCTATGGCTTCAATCTACGGCTGCCGACAACGTGCATCCATCTGATCATGTGACAGCAACACCATCCGAGCTCTCTTCGTTGGCAGGCGAGAATGTGGGAGATATGCTTACAACCATGTCCGACAGTCAGGCGGAGGCAGATACCAAAGAAGTATTCATGGAGCAGTTCGACGTGGAGGATGGGAGCCAAATCAGCTGCGGGGAGGAACCGGAGGATGATGAGGTTGAGGAGTGTACATACATGGGCCACTGCTCTCAAGCCAACACTACTACAACTCAACGGCTATCCACCACAGCAGGGGAGCAAGCGGCCATGAGACGCCAACGGCGGATGGAGATTATAAAGGGAAGGCGGAATGCAACAGAGGGAAGTGCAAGCGGGCTAGAACGCGCCGAATCACCTGCAGCACAGCTGCCAACGCAAGGGAACCAAACTGTCCGTCGGTCAACATCGCAGCAGGGTGTTTCCCCTGCCATGGGTCGGGCCAACGAAGCCGATTCGGCCACGGACGTCAACCACGCAGTAGAGACGGGATTGGTGGGGTTGGGCAGTGCGGATGCTCAACGGGAGGACAGTGACAACATGGAGGAAGGGGCGAACATTGTTGTTCGCACGGGCCAGGATGGACCGAGATATAAGAGGGAAAAGAAAATCACTGTATTCATCAAGCAATGGGCACGGTGTTATGCCCCCTCATGTCGGTTTGGCATCTACAGCAGCCAAATGGTGGAGTCCATCAACAACGCTATCAAGAAGATCCGTATCTTGCCTGTTTCCTATGTAATGGCGGGCATGTGGGATTGGATGGCAAAGATGTACTCGGATGGGCAGCGGAAGTCTTCTAACTGGCAGCATGCACTGACGGTCGAAGCTGAGACGCGGTTCGAGCTGAAAAAGAACCGAAGCCGTGGTTACAGAGTCACCCGCAACGGTCCAAACAAGGCAAGGGTTCGGAACAAGGGGAGCGTTCTGGATCAACGTCCTCTCTCCCTCAACAATGATGTGGGAGAGAGATTGTGCGAGTGCAAAAACTGGCAGGAATATCGGTTTCTATGCTCATATGCGTTTGCACACTTACGGGATAGGGGAATGGATGTTATTCCCTTGATCAGCAGGTATTGGAAGACGGACAACTGGAGAAGGACTTACGCAGAGCTCATTCCGTATTCGTGTGTAGACACTGTTATTGCGGAAACCGAGCCGGTTGAGGAGGGAGTTTGTGATGCCCCTGTTTTTGTGCAGAGAGGATCAGGGCGGCCACACTCTAACCGAAGGCGTGAAGCACCAAAACGGCCATACAAGTGTGGCGACTGTGGGTCGACTGAGCATACTAGGAAGAAGTGTAAGGGGAAATATGGGGGGTCAGGGGTGTATAATGTAGCAAACTAGTGGTATGGGGAACGAAAAATTGCTGAGTGTTGACAAATAGGGACTGTATATAGCATCTTCTTTGCTTCTACATGAATATAGGCTAATGTTTGACGGTATATAGTACATTTATGATACCCCATATGAACGGTCATATACAATACGCTCTTGACCAATAATATACACACAAACAAATGACCGGCCATATTCACTACCGCACTTGACCAGTAATACACACACGAACAAATGGCTGGTCATATATTCCCGCGCATATGACCGGTCATATGCGCATGAGCATATGACTGGTCGAAAGACAACGCGCATATGAACGGTCCATTGGCCGGGTTGACGGGTTCGATGTCATCGCGCACGCATACCGTATAATGGTTGTAGAGGTCAACATTCCAGTGGAGAATGTATGAAGCACTAGAAATCCACAAAAAAGTGTTATATTGAAACAAGGATTCACGCAAATGTTGTAAATGCAGCTGGATGGAGAGCTGTGTCGGCACTGCATTACGACTTTCTAATCGGGAAAACAAGTAATGTGCATTTCCGTCGTCAACTGATCTTAGCCTGGAAAGATCCTAAGGGCTTTTCTCAGCCCAACAATTATAAGGGTTGCAATTCAAGATTGCAATGACACATGGTTCTTCTAACAAGTGGTGTAACCAACATGACCGGACCGTAAATGGATACAATACATCACGTAAATGGATACAATTCTACAATTGACGTGTTGTGTGTAGGGCTGAGAAAAGCCCTTAGGATCTTTCAAGGCTAAGATCAAGTGTTGAAGCAGAGATGTTGTGATTGCGGAAGCGTTAATATAAGAGTTGTCAGCGACCTTTGACCTTCGCGTGACCTCCAGCGGTTGCTTTGTTGACTCGTGCGTTTCTTCGCTGTAGTCTGCTCCGTTTCGTGTCGATACTTCGATACTTCAGAGGCGTTTAAGTTACTTGTTTCCAACATTGTGTAGATACCACGTTGATCTGATGATGTCCTATTACATTATCAACTGCACAAACAAAACCACTTCAATTGGGTTATAAGTATTGCACTTACACAGTTCTTGTCTGATCTGCCGGCGACTAGAGACTACATTATTAGGCGGTGGGCCAAGTAATAATTCACTTTGTCTATTTTCGTCACAATCATAATAATTCAGAAACCATGGTAAACAAATATTTGCTACGTATCGAGTCTGCAGGGCATGTAGCGCGTGAATGCGAAATTTACAACATCGCGTACCTCGACAAATGCCCGGGCATATATCACATGCATATGACCGGACATAGTACACGCGCAGTTGCCTGTCAAATTGCACAGGGATATGACCGGTCAATTCCGAATTGCATTTGATTGGTCCGTGCATATGAGCGGTTCAGATGCAATCGAGCTTTTTTGACAGGCATACAAATATGACCGGTCATGTTTGGCTTGCGTTTGATTGGTCCGCGCATATGAGCGTCATATGCGTATGGGCGCAGTTGACAGGTTATGAAGTGCTGTGAACATTTCGGTAAGTTCGGCTTTGCGGTTACATCGCAACCCTAACGATCCGCGACTCAGTACAATGCGCGAAGTACAAATAAATCCCTCGTAACATCACAAATTTACAAACGAAATACGGTAACCATGTAATTGCGCGTGAGGTACGAAGCTCAACCCAAACACTGGCACCAACTAGACCACGTCATGTGCCGGGCATATTCCTCTCGATATGTCCGTCAGAACGCAAAGTTAGGGATCGATAGCTCCTAGATTGGATACTAGAAGTTCTACCGGTTTAGGCCTCTAGCACCCCTTCCTATCACTAACTGAGTACTTACTTGACACTAGAGCCGACGGCGCGCGAGTAGGCCGTGGATATGTCAGGTCGAGCAGCTCGTGGTAGAGGGAAACGTCAACGAAAACATGAAGGCACGTCAACGCCCGACATGGATTCGGGAGAAGATGACGGTCTTCGTCGTAGTGATAGGCTGAAATTGGGCCACGCAAGGGAGACGACTAACAAAGAGCATTGCGCCACGCCGTCTGATCCGGTGGTCTTGAAAAAAGTAGCTCCCCACGATTATGGCGTGGAGCCGGAGTTTGAGACGCCGTTGGTACAACCTGACGATCTCATCGCGAAAATCACCGGAGATACCAAGATCCCGTTGCTAAACACACATGAGGAGTCTAGAGCTACTGCGGACAAGTTTACGCATCCATTTTTTCCCACGAATGCGATTCGTGACCATCACGGCATGACGGCCATTATCACGATGGCCGACGCTCTGCACATCACAGATAATCAGCCGATCACGCAGCCGCTCATCGATTTCCATAATATGTAAGTGCCATACCACAGACATGTAGACTCCGGTGATGTACCCTTGTGTCTTGATTATCGCACTTACAACTCTCTCATTGTTGTGCTACATTTACTGCCTCTTTCACCGCAGAGTGCTCAACATCCGCCGGCCAAAGTTGAGCAATGACAAGACGTGGCTCGCGTTGGACAGTCAAAGTTACGACTACTTCTGCTCACGGGGCAAGATCGCCAGTGGAGACTCCAGAGCGTCGATCTTCAGCTATGACTATCTGGCCATGCCAATCTTTGGCGGGTAAGTGCCATGATCCCGTGTCTAGTCTAGCCTACACGCAAAGGGCTTCGGCTGTTGTTTTGCCTGACCGTGACATTAGTTGTGTAATGTGGTGACGATGCATGTTTCATTTCAGTGTGATGATTGTGGTCAATCCTGGAGTTGTGACTCTCCCGCTCGACGAGGACATCGCCACCCAGTCTGCGTGGTTGCTGCTGTATGAATCCCTTGGGATGCATGCTGTTGGGGGCAATGCATTCAAGAACATGACCAAGTAAGGTTCCGCTAGAGGTTGCGAACACAAATTCCCTTACAAGCACGCAAACATCACCGTGCATGATTTTGTTTCATTCATTCAAACTTCCACTTCGTCTTTTGTCCTTCCCAACGCGGTCCCGTCACAGCTTGCTAGGCATGGCCTTCGAGAAGGACCATGGAAACCGACCAATAGAAGAGATGAAAGCGAGGCTCGGGAGATTCCAGCCACACGTCATGGAGGTGTGTTGACCATTGGTACGCTTGTCTACCATGCTACAACCTATGCTTATTCATAAGCAGCCATGCTATTATAGCAACCCATGCAATCCTGGTGCAACCATGCGCATGGTGCACCCATGTGCACGATGCTGCCAAACAACCAATGTACTGCCCGGTTCAAAGTGCTCTCGTGTGTATGGTGCCACTAAGTTGAGTGCAGCCATCTGTACGTGCAAGGTGCTTTCCCGTGCAAACTGTTGTACTCTGCATGGTGCACATGTGACATTAAACATTTTACATACATAGTTTATCAAATGATAGACGTGTACACTCCCGTCTGTAATTTTTTTATGCTGCATGTGCATTTGGTGTATTGCAGGCATGGCAGATGCCTCTACAGCAGAACGATTTTGACTACGGCATCTTCGTATGCCAGTACATTCAAGCGCTTGTGGAGGCGTGTTTCGAAGGTGCTGAGAACGGGGTACGGATCAGCATGAGCCCACTGGCATATCGACGCGGGTTACGGGAGGATGTGTGCGCTCATGCAGAAGGACGGTTGATCGGCGTACGTAGGTGCAACCCTAAACCCTGGTGGATGGCAGCCGTACACCCACAGACACCCTCCTCCCAACCTCCATTTTCCATCCCAGTAGTTTGCATTCAACCAAATCCCTATCCATCCATTCAGCCAGGTGCAAGCCCCTATCTCCGTACACCCAGCCCCTTTAGCACCCATTGCTCCCAACCCTGCAGGCCATTCCGCAGCACAAAACACGGCACCCCATCCGCATGTCCTACCCACACCACCAGCCGTTGCACCCAGCTCGGCACATCCAGTAGCTGGCATGACAGATTCACAGCACAGCTTGAGCATGTCGACTTCACCCAACAATCCCACCCCCCCGTCTCACGGCTCCGCACTGGCAAGCGAGCCAGCAGCTGGTGAGATGTATGATTTTAACATCATTGCTTATCATTAGAACCATCAAATTGCTAACCTTGCTTACTACTCATG